AGCCTGGCTGCAGCCTTTGCCGGTCCAGGGTTGCAGCCTGGCCCTTTGCCTGCACATCCCTCGCGGCAGCTTCCACCAAGCTCCTGGCCGTCAGCGTTCCAGCATTGCAGCCTGCCGTTTGCCTGCACATAGCCCTCTCTTGTTAGGGCATTCGAGCCTGCCGTTTGCCAGGCTTCAAACCCCTAAAACCCCTAAAATGCCTAAAACGCTCCTTTGCCTGCACATAGCCCTCTCTTGTTAAGGCATTCGAGCCTGCCGTTTGCCAGGCTTCAAACCGCTAAAAGCCCTAAAACGCCTAAAACCCTCCCTTGCCTGCACATAGCCCTCTCTTGTTAGGGCATTCGAGCCTGCCGTTTGCCAGGCTTCAAACCCCTAAAACCCCTAAAACCCCTAAAACCTCCAATTCCTTCACGGCAGCTTCCACCAAGCCTAGCCGTCAGCCTTTGCTGCTCCAGGGTTGCAGCCTGCCCTTTGCCTGCACATCCCTCGCGGCAGTTTCCACCAAGCTCTTGGCCGTCAGCGTTCCAGCATTGCAGCCTGCCCTTTGCCTGCACATAGCTCTCTCTTGTTAGGGCATTCGAGCCTGCCGTTTGCCAGGCTTCAAACCCCTAAAACCCCTAAAACCCCTAAAACCCTCCTTTGCCTGCACATAGCCCTCTCTTGTTAAGGCATTCGAGCCTGCCGTTTGCCAGGCTTCAAACCCCTAAAAGCCCTACAACCCCTAAAACCTTCCAATTCCTTCGCGGCAGCTTCCACCAAGCCTGGCCGTCAGCCTTTGCTGCTCCAGGGTTGCAGCCTGCCCTTTGCCTGCACATCCCTCGCGGCAGCTTCCACCAAGCTCCTGGCCGTCAGCGTTCCAGCATTGCAGCCTGCCCTTTGCCTGCACATAGCCCTCTCTTGTTAGGCTTCAAACCGCTAAAAGCCCTAAAATGCCTAAAACCCTCCTTTGCCTGCACATAGCCCTCTCTTGTTAGGGCATTCGAGCCTGCCGTTTGCCAGGCTTCAAACCTCTAAAACCCCTAAAACCCCTAAAACCCTCCAATTCCTTCGCGGCAGCTTCCACCAAGCCTAGCCGTCAGCCTTTGCTGCTCCAGGGTTGCAGCCTGCCCTTTGCCTGCACATCCCTCGCGGCAGCTTCCACCAAGCTCTTGGCCGTCAGCGTTCCAGCATTGCAGCCTGCCCTTTGCCTGCACATAGCTCTCTCTTGTTAGGGCATTCGAGCCTGCCGTTTGCCAGGCTTCAAACCCCTAAAACCCCTAAAACGCCTAAAACCCTCCTTTGCCTGCACATAGCCCTCTCTTGTTAAGGCATTCGAGCCTGCCGTTTGCCAGGCTTCAAACCGCTAAAAGCCCTAAAACGCCTAAAACCCTCCCTTGCCTGCACATAGCCCTCTCTTGTTAAAGCATTCGAGCCTGCCGTTTGCCAGGCTTCAAACCCCTAAAACCCCTAAAGCCCCTAAAACCCTCCAATTCCTTCGCGGCAGCTTCCACCAAGCCTAGCCGTCAGCCTTTGCTGCTCCAGGGTTACCTGCCCTTTGCCTGCACATCCCTCGCGGCAGCTTCCACCAAGCTCTTGGCCGTCAGCGTTCCAGCATTGCAGCCTGCCCTTTGCCTGCAGCTCTCTCTTGTTAGGGCATTCGAGCCTGCCGTTTGCCAGGCTTCAAACCCCTAAAACCCCTAAAACGCCTAAAACCCTCCTTTGCCTGCACATAGCCCTCTCTTGTTAAGGCATTCGAGCCTGCCGTTTGCCAGGCTTCAAACCCCTAAAAGCCCTACAACCCCTAACTCTATCTATCTATCTATCTATCCATCCATCCATCCATCCATCCATCCATCCATCTATCTATCTCTCTCCCTCTCTCTGCAGGACCCCCATTCTATTTGACCAACAAGAGGGTATCTGATTCAGGCATGCGTCATTTCATCGTGGGATAATGTGTAGTATCCATCCGACAACAAAACAGCCAAGACTAGAATCAGATCGTCACTAAAAAGGTATCCTCACGAAGAACATATTTTCCAAACCCCTTCTCCGCAAACATGTTTAGAAAGTTGGATTCTCCATGATTTTACAAATTCAGAAGCACATTCAGCACAAGATTTTCTCTCTGGATTTTCACCCTTTTTCTCGAGTTTTTTTTTCCTTTTTTCAGGCTTTGAATTCCTGCCCCACGTGTCACGGGGTGGTCCCGCCAGCACCGCGTTCGTCGCCTCTTCAACGGTTTCCTCTTTGACCACCTCTGGGCGTTGCGAGGCATGACCGATGGGCCGCATGACATGGGAAAGGATGGAACAGATGTGGGCAACCTGGGCAACCAAATGACATAAACCTATATAAACCTACCATAAACGTGATGACTTGGGGATGATTTATGACATTGGGTGTACCCCATGTAAGTTAATGATAGTTCATGAAGTTCATGAATGTTAATGTGTTTAATCTTACTAGCAATTATTAGTACAATGTATCAAACCATATCAAAACAATACCTGGTTGGTGGTTTCAACCCCTCTGAAAAATATGAGTTCGTCAGTTGGGATTATTATTCCCAATATCTGGAAAAACATGTTCCAAACCACCAACCAGATACATGTGAGTAGCTATCAACACATGTACAGCCGTGGGTGTTGTTGGGATCTTGGCGAAAAATACCACCCTTGACCTGGTGGTTTCAGTTGTATCGGATCATTCCAAGTAGGGGATGATTTAAGTTTTGAAGAAATACTAGATTCTGAAAAGGAAAACACACAGTGTCTAATTATGTCTATATAGAATTCTGTGAACCCCAGATTTTGAGAAAAATCTTCGGGCTACACCGGGCCCGTGGAGCCTGGAGAAAGCGATGTGAGATGAAGGGCAGCTCACCCGACAAGCCATGCCTCGTTTTTTTTGTGCACCGTTCAACAGGTCGGTATATGGAAGAATGGTGAACATCCATGCCTAATGGTTAAGACATGTTAAGACTAGTGGTAAATCATTCGATAAATGATGATCAATGCGGAATATCGATGGAATGCCATCATTTATCATTGATTCCGCATTTATAAGGGTATATGATAAGGATATATCTTATCCCCTATGGATTCCCCTGGTAATAATCAATCGTTCCCCACTAACGAGGATGAGCCACCATGTTTCCAGCTCAACTGTGGTGAATCATGGATTTATACCCCATGGATCTAAGTACCTTAGGAAGTCATAGTATAACTGAAGGATATATGCAAAAAGGGTGGGTTATCCTGCAGATCTAAGCAGACTGTTCGATTGGATGATATTTTCCCATGAAATGCGAGGAAAACAGCAATTATAGTGGGGATCCAGACATATTGATTAGCTAAATTATATGATAATTATATTCATGATAATAGATATATCATCATACATGAAAATTCACACACCTCATTTTTTGGACAGAGGTGCCTTGAGTTGAGACCCCAAATTGGGGTCGAACCCCCGGTTTCCCAGTTTCGATTCTCGCTGAAAAAATCAATGATGACCCTTGGAGTTGCCCTTCACTCAATTCCCTCGAGAAATGAGCTCGAAAGGGTGGATTCTCCATGTCATTCCATATCTGGTTGGTGGTTTTAAACATCTCGAAAAATATTAGTCAATGGCAAGGATTATCCCATATATTATGGAACATAAACAATGTTTGAAACGACCAATCAGATATCTATATCAAATAATATCAAGATTCAAGGTATCAATTGGAGGGTAAAAGCTACTGCAGCCTTTGTGGTAGTTCAACCAATCCCTGTCTGGAACCTGTGATATCTTACCATGGCTTGTCAAGCTGAACAGAAGTTGGTTCCTGGATGTTCCTGGTATACCTCGTCATCTCCATACAACGCTAGCCTCGTCACCACTACCTGCAGAGGACCTTCGTGTCTGCCAATGCCGAATGTTTTCTAGCCGTGCAGCTTTCACCAGCACTGCGCCCTGCAAATCTGAGATAGAAGACCTTCTGGTGCCCTTTCAAGATCCAACGTGTGTTTCATTTTTGTGCTTTTCAAACAAGACACTGTGGCGTGTCAACCAATGTGGCTATGGCTCAAAACCACTGACCCCCACAATTCGATGCGCAACGAACCAAACCAAGCGCCCACCCATGCTAAAACTGATCAAGACACGGATAGATCGTAATGCTTTCGATCCACAGAGGGTCCACTCCCGATCCTGCAGCAATGGAGACAGGAAACCTAAACCTGCCCCATACAAGAAATTATATTGGCACATAATTAATAGATTAGTATATAACTGGAATCGCTTGCAAGGATATTACTGTCTTGACAATTGAGGAGTTAAATCCCTTGTAACAATCGTCAGCCATCTACTATCTTCAAGGATCATGATCATGTTAGCATTTTTCAGTGAACTACTGTAACCTGCGGTACTAGGCGATACATCTGGATATGTTTTTTTTTTTAAAC